GCCTTTTAAACTGCAGCCACCCACCCCCCCGACACACACACGCACACACCATCTTCCACCAGTTACAAATGTCTAAATGTTGTTACTCCAACGTCCATTTTGTGATATTTAACATAAATCATAATTAAAAACACATCAAAAATGCAAATGTTACTCTTTTAGAGTTCTCCGGTTCCACAATATGCACAGGAAGAAGCTCATCTCAACTGGAACTCACCGTGTGAAAATATCTGTACTGTAGCTGTAATGTAGCTAAATCCACAGATTTCTGCATCCATCAACTGCTATCTTATTCCCCGCAGAATAACTCCTTTAACTTGGATAGTAGGGACTTGCATATATTTCTAAAAACAGCACGTATGTTGCATAAACAAACAGAGCTTAGGGGGAAAAAAACTCATTTTTGTTGTGCCCTATTTTGTCAATGTCTCAAAATGCAGGTAATTAATGTCAGGCATACAAACTATTTTCGTGGGCAAACACAGTAGGCATTTGAAAGTGAAGCACTGCAGAAAAGTAAACCGCAAGGGAGTCTGTACCTTACTTTTCGGCTATGAACCTGATGTGAATCGTGGATCATTTTCCAAGCAATCATTATGTTTTATTAATACCATATTTAAATGGATCTGTGTTGTTATTGTATGTGGTATTGGGGAAGGTGGGCAAACCATTTTCAGTCTTGAGTTGTGGACAGCGAAAAAGAAAACTAAATTGCCTTGTAATCCCTCTCAGCTATCCATTACATGACAAAATAAGAATTCACAAGACCAGAAAAGGTCATTAGGGCCATTTGGCTGCTCCCAAAATAAAAACAAATCATACTAAGTTTCTCACACCTTTACTGATTTATTTGCTTATCTAATTTCTTGAATTTAGTGATGCAATCTTCCTCCTTTAGCCTTCTTGGGTAGTCAATTCCGCATTCATATTCACTACTTTTTGAAAAGTAGTAGAACTAAACTACTTCTGAACCTTCCCTCTTCTGAATTTGAGTTTGTCCCAAATTATTGTCGTTATGACCATACTAAACATATTACAGTATGCACCCATTGCACCACCATTCTCATGGGCTATGAGAGCACACAAACTAACCTCAGCTTTGCCATTTCTGTACTTGCCAAGATAGCCTGTAGCTCAGTGGTTAGAGCACTCGCCTCACAAGCGAGAATTCCAGCAGGGCAAAACCTTAGGTAAGTTTCCTTACTCCACATGCCTGATAATACTCTCTCAAGAAAAAATATAAATAAAATAATAATTTGGTCACTCAATCCACAACTGTTTGTGGGACACTGGTGTGTGCAATTGGCTGCCATGTGTGGGACACTGCTGTGCCCAATTGGCTGCTGCGTTTCGCCCACAAATTTACAGTCACTACACTTTACAGTATATTCTGTGAAGTGCTTTTGAGATGTCTAGAAGATGTGAAAAGCGCAAGGAGTATTTTTTATATTATAGCTGCGCAAGAGCATCACAATTGGTTAACTTTACTAAGCCGTGAAGAAGTGCCTGATCTCCGCACTGCATTTCCCCTGTATGGCATGTGTAAGATCAGTATAAAGCCGTGTGCAAGCCTGCACTCTGCTGCTGTAATGCAGAGCTTTACAAAACCCATACATTTACTGCATAATTGTCATAAAGCAAACTTAAACCTCCAATACTAGGAAGGGTTTGCAGGATGAGTGTTGCCAGGTTGCAGTGGCTGACAAGCAAGTGCACTCAGCAAGTCTAAAATGATCAGAAATTAACTCCTTGTAGAAAACTAAAGAAATGCATAGGCACATAATTGGTATGAAATAGCAGGACACAGGTCTGCACATTCTGCCTCCATGTCTATTGACAGCTCATGTTGTTACCCTGATAGTTGCATATAATTAGTGAGTGGATTAAACTGTTTAAAATATCTTTGAAACCTGCATTATACCTATCCTAATTGCCTACAAAAAGATAGCCATTAATGACAATCCTTACAATTGATATAGCGCCTTTCACTTTGGGAGGACATCTCAGAGCACTACAAATGATGTATTGTAAAGTCTGGCATGTTCATTTTTGTAGGCAAAAATGGCAGCCAATTTGTTCTTTGAAAAATTGGGAGGTAGCTTTAAAAAAAAAGGGGTTAATGGGCTCATTGTTTCATTCTGTGTATCTGTCGTATCCCTTGGCTAACAAACGTTTTCCCATTTGTCTATCAACCCCTATTCTGCAAATATATTATTCATAGTATGCGGTGTAACTTAGGACAGTGACAGATGTATTTTTTTCAATTGAAATGAATTCTGTTCCCAGCTTAAGTGCAATGCAGGATAAGGTAGTGAAAGTGAACCAGACTAATACTTTCAGAAACCCAGAGGCAGCAAAACAAGAGGTCACAGGTTCAGGAATGTGAAGGACAATATAAGCCAGATACTATGCAGTATGGAGTCCCAGCACTGTGGGACGTCCTCCCAACATGAAAGGCGCCATACAAATATAATTTTGTATTGTATTTCTTCAAACAATTCACAACAGCTGGAGTGAGGTACCAACATAGGGCCCATGGAGTTAAAGGGAATATATTAGCATGGATTGAAGAATGGCTAACGGGAAGAAAACAAAGAGTAGGGATAAACGGGTCCTTCTCAGATTGGCGGGATGTGACTAGTGGAGTGCCACAAGGATCAGTGCTTGGGCCTCAACTATTTACGATCTACATCAACGATCTTGATGAGGACATCAAACTTAATGTATCCAAATTCGCGGATGACACTAAACTAGGCAGGAGAGTAATCACCGAGGATGACATTAAAAAATTGCAACCAGATATAGATAGGCTAGGTGAGTGGGCAAATAGGTGGCAGATGAAGTATAATATAGGGAAGTTTGAGGTCATCCACTAGGTGGCAAAAACAGTAGAGCAGATTATTTTTTAGAAGGGGAGAGACTAGATAGTGCTAGCGTTCAGAGGGACTTGGGTGTCCTTGTACACCAATCACAAAAAGTTAGTTTGCAGGTACAGCAACCAATTAGGAAGGCTAACGGTATGTTGGCATTTGTTACAAAAGGGTTAGAATATAAGAGTAGGGAAGTCTTGTTTCAACTGTATAGGGCCCTGGTGAGATCGCACCTAGAGTACTGTGTGCAGTTTTGGTCTCCTTATTTAAGAAAGGATGTACTCGGCTTGGAGGGAGTACAACGTAGATTCACTAGGTTGGTACCAGGGATGAGGGGATGGGTTATGAGGATAGGTTGAGCAATTTAGGCCTTTATTCTCTAGAATATAGAAGAATGAGAGGTGATCTCATAGAAATCTATAAGATTATTAAGGGGCACGACAGAATAGATAGTGGGAGACCTTTTCCCCTGGTTGGAGAAATTATAACCAGGGGTCACAGTCTTAAAATTCGGGGTAAGCCCTTTCACACTGAGTTGAGGAAAAACTTCTTCACTCAGAGGGTAGTGAATTTATGGAATTCTCTACCCCGAAGGGCTGTAGATGCTCAGTCCTTGAACATATTCAAGACTGAGATTGATAGATTTCTTGTGGATTAAGGGATATGGGGATAAGGCGGGTAGGTGGAGTTAGAATAGATCAGCCAGGGTCTTATTGAATGGTGGGGCAAGCTTGAGGGGCCGAATGGCCTCCTTCTGCTCTTATGTTCTTAACAATGGTGGTGAAGGTCAGGAATAGGTTTCGTGTTTTAATGGGAAGGTGGTACAATTCTTATTCTTGAAGGATGGTCCTAAGGGTCTTCATCCATATGTGTCTTATATCTGTCTTTTGGATGAGACGTTAAATCAAGGTCCCGTCTGCCTGTTCAGGTGGATGTTAAAGATCTGTGGCACTGTTTGAAGGGAGTTTCTCCTGGCGTCCTGGACAAGAATCCCCCAAATAAAATTGGTCATTCACTCGATGGTTATTTGTGGAACATTGCTGTATGCAATTGTGCTGAAGTGTTTGCCTACTCACTCACTCCATTTCACAATAATTCCTCTGAAATGCTTTGAGATATCTTTCCAAACTTGTAAGGTGCTATATCAAATGCAAGGATGATTATGATAAATGTTTGTATTCTCACCCTTTATATTCATATTGGTCTCCAGCAGGTGGTGCAAAAGATTGCTTTTCTTGCCCATCATTTTGACAATTAAACCAACAGTGTTCATACATCATAACCGGTGGAATCGTCTGAATTCCACTGTCCTGTTGGCTTTTTTAAAAAAAATTCAAGGAGCGAGTCTCATGCTGTTTCTGATTAATTGGAGGGCATCAATTTAAGATAGCAAACAAATGCGGAGGTTAGGGAAAAAAAATGTCATGCACAGAATAGTTAAGATATGAAATTATCCGCCAGTAGCAGTGGTTGAGGCGTAATCTATATTGGTCTTCAAGAGGGAACTAGACAAATACCTTAAGAAGAGTCAGCTACAGGGGTATGGGGAAAGGGTAGGTAAATGGAACTGAAAGGATTGTTCCCAAGGGAGGCAGCACCGACATGATTTGCTAAACAGCCTTCTGTTCCATAAATTATTATGGTTCCACGTTTCTGTCTTTGTTGCAGAAGAAGCTACAAATACTTGTATATTGTATGTAAGTCACTAGATAGAATCATAACAAGTTTAAAAAAAAGTAGACTTTTCTCTTGCATCTGTCTGAATTCATGCATTTTTTACTTTTGATGCAATTTAGTATGGTTTTTCATTTATAATCTAATCGTTTCCTTACAGACTGTCTGATGTAGCACTTATTAAGGTCCAGAGAGACCAGATTCAATCCCAGCCCCACCCTACCCCCACACACATCCTGCTCTCAGTCCATCATGATGATTTTGGTTCCTAGTGATAAGTTTAATTGTTCTACATTTATGTTTTGCTGAAAACCGGCTCCAATAAAACAAAAGGCCTAGTCTTGAATAGTACTTTGATGGTTTATTTTTAGGAAATATTCATTCCTCAATAAATGTCTTTGCTAAAGTAACTTGTACTGGAGTGCTAAATAATACATCTTATTCTTTCTGTTCCAGTGATTCACACTTCACTGAAAAACGATGAAAGAAGAAATCAAATAACATGTCGTGGATCTCCAGTGCACATAGCAGTTATTGCAGGTAAACAAGGAAAGAATTGTACTACAAATTGAAGTACATTTTGGGACAAAATGTGTGTCAGCCTGGCTCAGTGGTAGCACTCTGAGCCAGAAGGTTGTGGGTTCAAGCCCCACATCGAGACCTGAACTCACACATTCTAAGCTGACGCTTTAATGCAGTGCTAGGGGTGTGTTTTGTATTGTCTGAACTGCTGTCCTTTGGATGAATTGTTATATGAGATCATTTCTGCCTGTTCAGGTGGAGTTAAAGATCACATGGCACTATTCAAAAAGAGAAGGAAGTTTCTCACGGTGTTCTGGTCAACGACCCCAAACAAAATTAGTCACTCACTCCATTTTGTGGGACATTGTGTGCGCAACTGGCTGCTTTTCACCCACAAGACACACAGTCAAACCACATTGCAGTATATCTTGTGAAGCGATTTGCGATGCCTTGAAGATGTTATAAGGCAGTAAATCAAACGCAAGGGTTATTATTATCTTTAAATAAAATGTTTGATATAAACTACTATGCAATAGACTTGGAACCGAATTTTAGTTTTATTTACAGATCCATTATCGTTCCAGCTCAGGATAGGACACTAGGATCGGATGTAAACTAGAACAATGGCCTGCTTATGTCAGACTGCATAATGGCCCTAAAAGGCAGTCAAACTTTCGGAAGTCTGTTGTATCGAGTACGAGTATGACTACAATCGTACATTTCATATGCTAATAAGTCTTTGTGTATGATATACAGTATATCTGGTACATGTTCAGTAGATTTCTGATTGTCCGACATAGTGGAGAGTACTCTTTTTTCCCCCTCAAGGATAATTGAAATTGGTAAATAATTGAGGTTCTATTACCCACTGCCTCATCGCAAATAGGTATAGCATCCAGCGTCCCTAGCGACTTAACAATGAAAGCCCCAGTCATTTGTTTACTTGCCTGTTCTAGCACATCCCTGAATCAGCAGGTAATGGCATCTGACATTTGGAGCCATTATTCGGAGACTGGCTGCCTCTTAACTGAACAGGCTTTGGCGCTGAAAGATTTAANTTTTTATTTTGAATACCACCTTGAAATGCTGTGGGGGGGAAAAAAAAGATTAATAGCAGTGGTTAAGTACTGCTTCATTATTGTTGGCTGTGATGCACATTCCATTTGTGGATTCAGAGAGACCTGATATAGAATTGAACAGAGGGAAGTGTGTAAAATATGGTTGGAACCCTGAGCAGAAATAATGACCTTCTATCTGTCCCAACGATGACTAGTCACATCTGATTTATGCATTGGTGTGCAGTAAGTGCTGACTAAATAATTTCCCTGAAGACTGGCTTCGCTGCTGCTGTAAAAAGGGCATTCTTGTCATTGCATTGATGTCCTTCAGTAATTTTCTGACTTATTTTCTGTTTTCTGAAAATGTTACGGCATCTCAGGTCAAGCAATTATGAGACAAAAGTTAGTAAGTTTACGAACAGCAAAGTTCAGTCCATGTACCAAATTGTACTTTGGGAAAATGCTTGGACATGAGGAGTGATTCTCTACCACATGGAAAATGTATCAGCTCTGGCACTGTGAGCACATAATAACTTGCAATTAATTATACAGCATTTTTCATAAAAAACAAACATCTCAAAATGCTCTCCAGAATAGAATTGATTAGAAATTAAGTGAAAGTTTTTGCATAGGTAAAACGGTCAGCCAACCTACATTAGTAACGCTCCATAAGCAGCAATGAAATGAGAAGCCATTAATTTAGATTTGCAAGTAAATTTGGATCAGAAAGGGAATATAAACCAGGATAAATGTGACCAGGAGACGGACACCCACCCTCAAATACTTGATGCGCGGCTTGAACTTATAACCTTCTGACTCAGAGGCAGGAGTGCTAGCAACTGAATCAGATTGACACAATGATACATAAAGGGACAACAATGAACCTTGTGTTTTTTTTCTTAACATTCATAAGATACCTGTTACAATAGCTGCAAATCATCACAGCTTTATTGTAGGAATTAATAAGGAATTTTCCATTCTAAACACTTAACCAGATCTCAAGTGATAGTCATCGATCAGTAATATCGTTAGTTCGGCATTATTTTTTCAGCTATTGCAATAAGTAACCTAAACTAGATTTTACATGCAGTTCCATTCTTTTCATTGACAGCGTTGGAACTGTCTGGTCTTGTGAAGCAGAAATGCAATTGTTTATCTTTCCAGATGTGCAATCCTCAAAGACAGATGACCGACAAAGATTAGCAAAGGAAAGAAGAGAGGAACGGGAGAAATCACTTGGTAACTTTTATTTTTCTAAAAGACTCAGATGCTATTTGTGTACATGTTCCATGTCTTATTATTTTACAATTGATCTTTCTTTTTAAGGGCTGCTCTATTTGAGATGCCATAAGAACATAGAAACAGGAGTAGGCCATTCAGCTCTTTGAGCCTGTTCCAACATTTAATTAAATCATGGCTGATCTGTACCTCAACTAATCCTTTCAATTCCAATTTCCTGCTTTCTCCCCATATCCCTTAATACCCTGACCAACAAAAATCTATCAACCTCACTCTTGAAGGTGTGGATGGATCCAGCATCCACAGCCTTTTGGGGAAGAGAATTCCTGATTTCTGCCACACTTTGAGTGAAAAAATGCTTCCTGATTTCATTCTTAAATGGCCTGGTTCTAATTTAAGACTATGTCCACCTAAAGCTCATGCAATCAGGGAAGGCGTATTATTTTTAGAATGCAAGATAGATACTGGAACTCTTCAGTCTATAACTGATAATCCACCTGGCTCAAAATATGCATTTGAAATCTTCATTCAAGAGCAATAGAAGCAATTAAAGCATCCCAACAACCTACCAATTGAAAGGGTAGCTTTTCATAAATGGGTTCCTTAATAAGCAAGCCAATTCATGCCAATGGTGACTGCTTCCTATAAATGGAAGTACGTTATTCAGGCCACAGGAATGCCAATCTGAAGCAATGTATTCATAAATCTCATTACCGCAAATTAAATCCTGTGCTTTTCCATTATTTGCTTTGTACTTTTTGTGCGGTCTTGAATGTTTTCTATTTTCTGTATGTACAAGGCCATGAGCTATGGAGGTTGAAACTACTCTCAATTAGTTTCATATTCCGGAAGAACCAGCCCAAGAATATCAACATAACTTTTTTTTCTGATATTGATTTAATCTCTAATCCACAGAGATTTGTTTTATATTTTATTACTTTGTTTCAGGCTTGCCTGACTATTTTGTCACTGAACCAAACAGCAATGTATTATTTGAGATTTTGAGTTTTTTTTTCATGTGCCCAAAACTAAAGGTAGCTTTGTTTTTGTTGCATCTTTATAATGGAAAATTCTATCACAAACCATGCCAATTTTTGACGCCAATGCTGGTATTCACTTCATGCAAGAACACTGCATTCTGTTTCTCTTAAAAAAAATGGAAGCCATTAGGATGCATAATCACATATTTATTCAAAAATTCTAATATCAAATATCATGAGTTTGTGATGTATTAATATCACTCTGTTTTGCCTGCAACAATCTCATAGATACAGGAAGTAAGGAGTGGCTGTTGTACATAACAATATTTAAAAGGAATCATAAAAATAACTTGTAAAATAATTTTTTATCCTGACATTCCAGTGTAGTGTTGGGAATACATTTATGGAGGTGCCATCCTTTGGATGAGATGTGAACCAAGTTCCCACCTTCTTTTTCAGGTGGGCATTAAGACACCATGGCACTGTTCAAAAAGAGCACCTATTAGTGACTAACTAGTGATTAGTTAGTGATTTCTAAGTGAAGTCTCCTTAGAGCTGAGCTGCCTCCAAAGTGACATGCTTGACAATGGAATGTCAAGATCAAGTCAATCCTCTCTGGTAATTTCAGTAGATAGGTTCTTCAGCCACGTGGGTCCACAGTCCTACTGGCCTATTGAGTGTTGCTAATGATAGACCAGCCAGCTTGGTTCATCGACAAGACTTGGAGAAGCAGACCACTCATGGAGAGCAGGGATTCTTCCCACCCAACTCCCGCTCACCCTGCAAGTCAAAATCCTAAAAGGTAGGGTGATCCTGGTGAGACAAGCAGGAGGACGCTTGTCAAACAATGATCTCAATGGTAACCTATATGGTTTACGTTGTTAAACCCCAACAGTGTCCCAATTAATACTTTGAAGCCCCCAAACTTTGGCTCTTGTCGAGCTGTGTTTGATACCCAGGTAATTAAGTAGGCAGGGTGTGTCCCTTCAGGGAGTTAGTAGGCATTCCATATTCAGAAAAATGTCAATGTGTAGGTGGCATACATACGTGGAACTCTTAGTTTGGTTTGGATACTCTTAAGCATGGTGATGAGATTCCACAAGTGTCGGACACCAGGCTTACCAAAAAAGAAAGGAATTTCTCCCAGTGTCCTGGCCAGTAATCCTCCAGATGAAATTGCTGCCAAATGTTTTGAGCAATTTTGACAATTTGTTAAGACACTATGTAATAATATATTTAACAATAATCCTTGTATTTGATATAGCAAAGTGCTTCACAGGATTATACTGTAAAGTGTGGTGACTGTGCATTTGTAGACAAATGGTAATGCCAATTTCACTCATAGTCTACATTGACCCTTGAATGCTGGGGGTGAACTGAATTGGTGGAAGTTCTGCCCTTTAGATGAGACATTAAACCAAGGTTCCGTTTTGTCTGTCGGTTGAGGTGGATATTAAATATTCTATGGCAATATTCAAAAAGCAAAACGAGTTTCTACCGGTGTCATGAGCCACAAATCCCAGATTAAATGGACTGACAATGCAATGCTCTCCCTGCACTCTATCGGATTGTAAGTCAGTGAGTTCAAAGTCCTGATGGGGGCTTGAACCCCAAACCTTCTGAGTCAGAGGGAAGAATGCTCTCAACTGAACCAGGGTGTCCCACAGCTCGGATTCTGAGATATTGAACTTATACGACTGTATTTTAACAGGCCTGTTTTGGTAAATGTCTCTTTGTAAAATATTGCAATGAATGCTTGTCAAACGATTTGCATTTTTCCCGTTAGCTGCAAGAGAGCAGCAGATACTAGAAAAGGAAAGAAGAGCAAAGCTGTTATATGAAAAACAGATGGAAGAACGTTGGAAGAAGCTGGACGAGCAGCGTCAACGAGATGAACAAAGAAGAGCAGCAGTGGAAGAAAAAAGGAGACAGAGATTTGAAGTAGAGAGGGTGAGTACATATTTAGGAGTATCCCATTCATTTATACCAACTTTTCCCACTATTTGTACACGATATTAAAACAAAGTTGAGCTAGCAGACTGTTCACCCTCATACTATGCTGAAGAACAATTGTTATGTTGGATAAAGCTAGCTTCCAATGAAGGTGGAGTTGTATCTTCTTGGTAAATAAAGAGATCTGGGATTTAGAATCACAAAACTGTACAATTTGCAACATTGATGGACATGGCCATAAAGAATGCAAATCATTGCCCAGGCTTTATGTCTAAAGGAACAGAGTACAAAGTCAGGAAATAGGGTGTGAGGGATGATTCCACCATAAGTAAAATATAACAAGCAGAGGAAGTACCCTTCCAAGATGGTCACCGCACCCAACTGTCTTACAGGACATGGACAAGGACCCTTATGTTAGAAGATTAGAGCTCACTCGTCAAATAATTTGCGAACTTTGCATCTTACTACAGCAGGAATGTTCATTATGGGTAGTGGGGGTGGGGGGGAGGGAAGAGTACTCTGAGCACCAATTATAATATTCCTTGCATTTGATACACTGCCTTATCATGTTATTGAGATGTCTTAAAGAGCTTCACAGAATATATTGTAAAGTGGAGTGACTGTGTATTGTGTGGGTGAAATGTGGCAACCAATTGCTCACAGCAGTGTCCTACAAACAGTCATAGATTGAGTGAATTAGCAAATTATCAAACTGCTAGGCAGTAGCTATAGAAAAGTCCACAGGTAAAATTCACTAAAGCAGGACATGAAACAGCAATGGGAGATCTGTTGTAGAAAACAAGATGCAGGGAGAGGTTTGTTTCCCTAAAGTCACTAATAGAATACAATAATAATAATATTAATAATAATCTATCCTTGCACTTGACATAATGCCTTATCACGATATTGAGATGTCTCAAAGCGCTTCACAGAAAAGAATGTAAAGTGAATTAATTGTAAATATTGTGGGCAAAATGTCTCAGCCAATTGCACATAGCGTACACAGTCGTGGATTGAGTGACCAAATTATTATTAAATTTTTTAAAATTAATTTTGAAAAGAATTACTACTTACTCGTACCTAAACATTATGCTACGTGTAGTCCTGTAGTTCAGTGGTTAGAGCACTCGCCTCGCAAGCGAAAGACCAGGTTTCAATTCCCGGCAGGGCTTGGTCATTTCAATCCACAACTGTTTGTGGGACACTGCTGTGCACAATTGGCTGCCTCGTTTTACCCATGAAGTATATTCTGTGAAGTTATTTGAGACGTATCAAAGACGTGATAAGGTGCTATATCAAATGCAAGGATTATTATTACAGAACTCCCAAATGGACTATTTATAATTACCTCCACCCATTTTGTTTGTCCTCTCTTCCCCTTTCTAGGGAAAGCCATCTGGCCTCTTAGTGCAGACCCATCCCCTTTTTTCAGTGATTCGGCTGAGATTGTACCTTGCTCCATGAAGATTTCCAGGTTGTATCCTACCACCTCATCATATGGTACTCAAAATCATTGCCCCTCCCATGGGAGCATAATAATGAGGAGTAAGAGCATTTTACCAATTAGCAGAACTAACCGATTGAAAGACTACTGGTTGACAGGGATCTAATGTACTTTTAATTGTTCCTGTCTGTCTTTCCGAGTATCTATATTATACTCTGATTTATTTCAGCAGTGTTAGCAGCAGTAGAATGTAATAAATTGTCTTTGAATCTCTTTGATGCTCTTTGATGCTGCCTGGAAATCATGCTTCTAGAATTACAGGCACATCATGCAAACATGATTTCCGCTCCAGAGAGATCTGTAGATCAATATATTGATAATACTGTATGCTGTCAGCCAGTGACCTGATACCATGTGAGGTTACTGAAGAGAAATTCAATGAATTGTTAAAATTGGGGGAAAAAAGTTGGATATGTCATTTAAAGTGATATCCTGTAAATACTTTGGAAGTCTGACAAAGTGATAAGGCTCGATATCAAATTGCAAAGATTATTATTGTTATAATCCCTTTGTATGCATCTGACTGATACCACCAAATAGTTTTGTTTCCTGAAAATTGAACACTCACAACTCAAATCCCCAGATTTTTAGAGGCATTTAATCTATTGAGTAACAAAGACTGAGTCAAGTTTTATGGAGAATACAAAGAGATGGAATTTATAGGATTCGTGTGGCAGCAGAAGGCTGACCCACATAAAATAATCGCATTACTAATCGCCACAAACAAATAAAGGTTGTTTTGTATTTTGTAACTCATATGACCTTTTTGAACTACTGGAAAAATAATAATCCTTGCATTTGATGTAGCACCTATTGCACCGTCAAAACATCTCAATGCTCGTCACAGGATTTTACTGTAAAGTATAGGGAATTTCACGTTTGTGGCTTAACGACCACCTCAAATTTAAGAGGGCATTTGAAAACAATGCCACCAAAATAATTGTTGAGAAGGTGAGTTTGAGCCACTTAATGGTTGGGCAGCAGATGGGGCTGAGTTAGGATAGGGGGGATCGGCTTCCAGAGCCTGGTGAGAGAGAGGACAGGGGCTGCAGAATTTTAGATAATCTACACCTTAAGAGGAGTTGGGAAGGCTGATGGGGAGGGTGTTCGTAGTCAGGCCTGTATGCAGAGCATAGACTCGAGAATCGGTAAGAGTAAAACCCAGAAAGAACAAAGCATGGAGATGGAGCAGGGTGGAGAGACTGTGGAGAAGGATGGATTGGTCGACAGATTTGTTTTCGCACCTACAGCATTAACATGTCTCAAGTGCTTCACAGTTAAATTGCTGTGAAGTGTAATAACTGTATTTGTGGGCAAATTCGGCAGCCATTTTGCAAACAGCAGGTCCCCACATACAGTCGTGAGCGAAATGACCAATTTATCAGGAGGATTGTCAGTCAGGACTAGGAGAAATCCACCTCTTTTTGAATAGTATCATGAGATTTTTAATATCTGCTTGAATAGGCAAAATGAATCCCTGACAAAGTAGCATTCTTTCAGGTTTGTGCTGGTTTATCAGCCTGGAATGTGAGTTCAAATCCCAGTGTGGGTCTTGAACCCACAATAACCTGACTTCAGAGGGAACAATACTACCAACTAAGCCGCGCTGCTCTTTATATTAAGGATGTTCGCATTGCAACAAAAGATGACGTTGAATAAACATGCCATTGATGAGATCACAGATGAGATCCTTAATATGGTCACAGCTTTGGGTGACACACTGTAGAAAATATAAACATTATAAAGAGGATGCAGCATAGATTCACTTGAATCATATCAGTAGTGAAAGCATTGTAGATATCAATAAAGGCTCACTGACTATTCACAGGATCAGAGAAAGGTTAGAGAGAATGCAACTGTAATGTTCAAAATTCTGAAAGGGATTTAGAGGCTAAATAATGAAAGATCATTTTCAGGTTGCCTATTGAATTGATGTTTAAAAATCAGATACATATTCAGAGATGAAATATATAAAGAGTATGGGTGGAAATAGACAAATTGGAGGAAATGGGTAAGTGGAATTACAGCAGACCACTCCAGTGGGGAGCAGGCGCCAAATAGACAAAATGGGTTGAATATCCTCCTTCTGATCTATACGGTTTCAGCAATGGGTCAGATGTGGGAGGTACAATAAAATCCTGAAGGTACACCAGAGCAGAGTCTAGAGTGCATTGGCAGAGATTGGGTTAGTGAAGCACATATTAAAAAGTGCCCAAAACTGACTGAGTCTCATATATTCATAACATCTATACATGGAAATTTCTCTGTGTCTGAAATGGAATATACACTCTCTCTCTGGAGGAATAACTCTGCTTACCTAATTCCAGAGAGTATTAGGCTTAGATTGATGAGCCCCAAGGCTTGGAAACCACAAAGTATAGATTGGGGTTTTGCTGGAGTTTAATCAGCTAAATATATGTAGCTTGGCATTGAGAGCACTGCTTGGCAAATCTCCCAATGCTTGTCCAACTAGGATAACCATACCCATTAGGGTTTTAAGATTATTAAAAAAAATGATAAGGTGGATATTACCCTTCTCCTTACCTCCCAGCTCCACCTCCTTGCCCCTCTACTCAAAGACCTAATCAACCTCTCCCTGTCCCCTGGTGCCATTCCCACCCCATTAAAAACAGCCATCATCACCCCTATCCTCAAAAAGCCTTCCATGGACCCATCCCTGCTCTCAAATTACCACCCCATCTCCAGCCTCCCTTTCCTTTCCAAGGTCTTGAAAGAGTCGTTGCTTCGCTCCTTCCTCTCCTGCTACTCCCTATACAAATCCCTCCAATCGGGTTTCCGTGCTGGCTCTCTGCTGCCTTTGATACCACTGACCATTCTATCCTAATCCACCACATCTCCTCTCACCTCAACCTTCATGGTTCTGTCCTTGAATGGTTTAGATCATACTTCTCAGGCACTGGCAGCATCACCATCCATGGATGCACACTCCACCTCACTGAACCAGTCCGGAACTTTGGCATTTTGTTTGACCCTCAACTGTCCTTTCTCCCCCACATCCGTTCCGTGACCGCTCTGCCTTCCCCCACCTCCGCAACGTCACCCGGCTCCACCATTGTCTCACACCGCAGGCCGCCAAAAGCTTCATACACATGTTCATAACACCTAGAGTATGCCTGTCCAGCACCTGGTTGAAGCAAAAAGCATCAATGTATGTAAGAGAAAACTTGATGCATAATTGAGGGAAAGGGAATAGTGAGATATAAGTGGACAAATAGGAGGGATGGGGTTCTGTGGAATATAAACCTCAGCACAGACTAGCTGTTCTCCTTCCCCTCCACCATCAGCGGCCATGCCTTCAGCCACTGCACTACATCCCCAAACCTTTGGATCTTCATGCCTCAATCCCTCCACCTTGCCCACTCTTTAACCATCGTCATATCGCACCTGAAGATTTCCCTTTTTGACTGGGTCTACCTCCCATTTCTCTCTAGCTCGGCATCAGGTTCTGTCATTGTTCAGCACTCCGAGAAGCTACCCCACATGAAGGGCATTACATTTATGCAATTTTTTGACTTTTGTGGGCTGGATATCCTGCTTCTGCATCATATTACTCTGTGTCATATTACTCTGTGTAACTATGTAATGAGTAATCTTCCAAGTTCTACTGAGAAAGCAAGATGGCTGATCTGTCAGTGGAGTGCAGTTCAGTGGAGTGCAGACCTGACTGACTCAGGAATCGGACTACTGAGATCACCATAGAAGGTTGACTTGATTCTGCCATTCCATTACCAAGGAGGATAATCATTAGTTGGTCTTTTGATGAAGAAAATTGTGATGAAGATGATTGTGATTCTGTTTTACGCACGTTTCGACTTCCAATTTGAGTTAAATTGGCTTATTTAATCACCTGTTATGATTTAATTCTTTTATTTCATCATAAAAATTCATTTTATTTCACCTTAAGATGGATGTAAAATAATTTCATTTTCTTGTTTTATTTTCTAGTTTTACTTCTAAATTAATTCTCCCTGGCATAGGTTAAATTCCTAACATTGTGAACTGCTATTATTTTTGGTCATTGCGTTTAATAAAAGACTGAATCTAATTGTGCAGCGATCACCGATCCCCAAGTATTGAACCACTTGAAGGTTACTGAGCAGTTCATTTGGGCAGATTACAAAATATAATACAACATGTGCTCTAATAAGATTCAAATCATGAAAAACTACATATAATGGGTTCACGCTGCAATAAACAGCAACTGCTCTTGTGGGAACTTTCCCCAGTGGCTAACATGTTAATACTGTTTTTTGAGTCGATTGTTACAAAAACCCAGCCTGCTTGAAAATGTGCTAATAAGGTTACAGAGCCCTTTTAAGGAGTTGCATCAAACTCACTTGCAAAGAAAGCCTCATTTATAAATGCATGAATTGGTGTCCCAGTGCACAATTTTATTCCATTTGGACACACCCTTCCTAACTGCTCTGTCGAATAACCTTGAAATGTCCAGAAAGATTAAATTGCAATACCCATAACCAACATTTGGCTGGTAATTTGCCAATCATTTAAAGAAAACAACTCTTAGGTGTGTTTTTTTTTAAAAGTACACTTTTCAGACCTTATGTCATGTCAATCTTTTCTTGGAAAAAGCAGGAGTTTTATACTGCAGCAAGGTTATGGCAATGTGATGCCGCTGTATGTAACAGATATTTGCTGTCTGGCCAGTTTGCCTGGCTTTTATGCTAAGGATCCTGAGCACTGACTCAATTATCAAACCTCTGCATTAAGATCTTTACAGGGCCCTGCTATTAATGCTTGTTGAGTATTATTCATGAGTAGATGAAGTCAGAATCTTCGATGATGGTTAAACCTATGATAGCAGGTGGTGGCTGATGATGTAAGTGCTATTTGCATAATAGTTCAGCATCTTGTAATGCTTGCCTTTCTGTTAGGTATGTCGCCATTGCTGGAGGTTTATGATGGTATGTGCTTCATATTTATTTGTGTAAATCTTTTTTTATGCCAGTTCTTTTGCAGATTTATCTTAGATAGATCTCGTCTGTGATTTAAATTTTCTAATTGAAGGTCTGTTAAGACAAGCAGTCCTGTTAGTGAAATTCTTAAAGAGAGCTAGTGGATTTGAAGGCCGCTGACTTTTGGATGTTTTGTTTTATGTGGATGGTGCATTGCTAGGAACGCCATGAGGCTATAATGCGTCGCACCTTAGAACGGAGCCAGCAGCTCGAGCAGAGGCAGAAGAGGTGGTCCTGGGGAGGAGCAGGATCCACAGGCACTGGATCCAGAGATGGTAAGTGAATAGGGCACAGCCTGCAATGCAGCTTCTGGAATATCGTATCAATATGTGCTTGCTTCTTAAGGATCCTGTGAGCCATTAATCTTACCATATTTGTGAAGTTTTTATATATTTGTGTAGCTGATTTCACAAAGCATATCAGGATGTTCTCTTTTTACAAAGCTGAAATTTTATCAGGGTGTTTTTTTTTCCAGTTCTGATTTTATTTCTTTTCTGTGGCTTACAGCATATCATCCTGCTTTTTTTCCAAACGTCTGTGGCAAAGGTTGCTCCTTTTTCTTTCTGCTTTCATGATTACTAATGTGCGACACAAGCGAAAGGGGAGCGGTTAGAAGCAGGGAATACCTGTGCCTCAAATAGCTTAAACAGAAGCTAAATTGATTGTGTTTGATAGTGCAGGTTGGATTCAGGATTCGTAACATAGATCTTCATGGTTTCAATAAATTATTGAATTTGAGTATGTCTCGAGTCCTTTTAGGTTTTATTTAAAAACTCTGAAATTTAAAATCTTTTTGTAAGGCCCATTATGGTTGAGTACAGGGACAGAGTGAAATGGCATTTCTGAAGCATTAATATTGATTCTGTTAAAATATTCAAGAACGACGTTGTATTATTTTTAGTATTGTGCTGCCAGAAACCAAAAGCAATCGAAATTAGACTTAATTTGAGTTTAAAATGAAAAACATTGCATTTTTCTTCAAACCCAAAGTGCTGTCAAATACCTTGCCCAGTATTTCATTTATTAATGAAGGTCGAGCTATCATTCCCTTAGAATAGTGTTCATGACACTGTGCCTGAAAGGGGAAATTTTAATGAGTAAAAGGTGGAACAATCTCAGCAAAGTGCTGGTTTCTGTAAGAAAAGGCTTTTCCTTCCATCTGAATGCACGATGTTGCAGCTAAACTGGAGATATGGGAGTGGTTAGGCAACGCAACATGTTGCAGGCAATTCTATTCCTGCGGATGTAGAATCTTGAATTTTATTCGTCTTTGTTGCACTGTCTGTAAAATCTTTTTGTCGTGTTTTTGTTTAAAAGTAGGTTTGTTTTGTATGGCAAGCTATTTTTCAGCATTCTGCCTGCAAGTAACTGATATCCTTTATTCTGATTCTGTGCTATGTAGGTGAATCAGAAAATTCCCTACCCCCTCCTATAGATTTAATCGCCAACACCTATCCTCCTTCAGAGCCTGTGGCCTTTGATGTTGCTGATTCCGTTGCTGGTATTTGGGAAAATTACTCTATCTTGATGCGTTTTGTATTTTTTTTTATTTTACAAATTCGTATTCTGTCTTCCACTTGTCTAACCACTGTGTCCTAACCACCCTTTGTCCTGTTCAACTCTTTGTATTATTGCTGCTCAAACTGTGGACATTTTTGGATAACTCATGTGTTTACTCATTGGTCTTTGTCTCAGTGACTCAGTGACTAACTTGCATGGTTGCATTACATTTTTGACAGACGCGCTATATATTTTTCCAGTACTCGTGTGACACTTTGCATAAAAGCTTCACAATGTCATGCGTGCATGTCTGCGTGATGTGCAAGTTAACTTTTTTCTCTCACTCTTGTCCTTTTCTGTATAAAGATATTTTATACCAATCTAAACATAAATGTCCTTGCTGCCTCTCTTCTTGCAGTGGCTGACAGACTTTCAGCTTCAGCCATGAATCTTCCCAAACAAATGGATCCACCAGTCAGCAAGCGTCTGTCCTCCTCTGCAGCAGCAATTACACATTCCCCTGAAAGAGGCAAGTGATTATCCTACTGGGTGTTACATGCAGTCCTTGTGGGATATGCTACTGACAGATTTGCTTGAGATTTATTATGTTTACTACTATTCTACATTTTCTGCGGTACACATGGCCCCAAGATGTCAGTAATCTAGTCAAATCCAAATCTGGACAACACAGAGCAGATAAAGTATATTTAGCATATGGATTAATGCAATTCCAAATTGTGGATATGTCAGCGGTGTTAATTCAAGAAAATACCATAGATTGTCCAATCAATGTTTTATGGCACCTGAACATGTTAGCAATATTTCATTGCAGTGTCTGTAGTGCCTGCAGTGGGTGTAAACCTTGGGAACAAATTTGGATACAGTAACTGAAACAGCAACGTGACTGGCTTGCTTTAGTCCACTTATTCCAGAGAGATGATTAAAGCAGATGATGTGTTTTTGTTCTATTGACTTGGCTCCCTGCCACACAGAGAAGCAAAATGTAGATCTTTGGTTTCAAGAGTTCCTCAAATGGGGTGAGTTGTCAATCTTAGGAAAGTCATGAGGAGGAGGGGAGTGGTACCAAGAGATCCAAGGTGCTTCCCCTTCCCAACAACAATAACAAATTATATATGGAGTCCTGTAGCTTAGTGGTTATAGCACTTGCCTTGCAAGCGAGAGGACCTGATTTTGATTCCCGAGCAGGGCAAAAACAGCTCCAAAATCCTGTTCTCCATCACTCACTACCTTCTCCGTGTGCCCCATCAAGCATCCTCAATCCTAACATCAATTGCCAAGAACTATCTCCAAGATAGATAACATCCTGCTGGCCATCTCCTCCTCCTGCCCCATGTACCCCATTCCTCCTCCATCACCCACTCCTCCCCATCCCACGGCTCCTACCTTGGGCCCCAACTTACACTCCTTTACCCCATCTTTCCTTCCTCCCTCTCATCCTCCATCACCTGGAGGAAACCCACTACCTGTTGCCTCGAACCCTCCCCACCCAGCTGATAGTCGCTAAACTCCCCCTCCTTAGCCCACTGCTGTCAGACACCATAAATCAGTCCCTCTCCTCAGGCTCAGTCCCACTCCCCCTCAAAACCGCTGTCATCACTCCCCTCCTTAAAAAAACCTTCAACCTCATGCACTACCACCCCATTTCAAACCTGCCCTTCCTGGCCAAAGCCCTGGAACCCGTTGTTTCACATCAACTTTGCTCACATCTCACTCTCCACTCCCTACTCGAATCCCTCCTGTCCAGTTTCCTCCCAGCCCACAGCACAGAGACTGCGCTTTTCAAAGTAACAAATGACATCCTCTCTCTGTGACCAGGGCTTCCCTCTGCCTCTCCGCGGCATTTGACGCAGTCGACCTCGCCATCCTGCTCCACCGCCTCCTCCCTCATCCACCTCAGTGGGACCGCACTCGCATGGTTCGAGTCCTACTTAACCAACCGCCAGCACTTTATCTTGACCAACAGTTTTTCCTCTCGCCCCTGCCCGGTCACTTGTGGGATACCCCTAGGCTCCATCTTTGGCCCCCTCCTCTACCTTATCCGGATAAGAGCAAATTTCCTGCAGCTGAATGTTGGCAAGACGGAAGCCACACTACTTGGCTTCCAACAATGTCTTCTTTCCTGCGGGTCTGAATTCCTCAACCTCCCTGGGCTCTCCCTCAGACTCTCCAAACCCGTGCCAACTTAGATGTCAGGTTCGATTCCCAGCTTTCCTTTCTACCACACATTCGTTCCCTGACCAGAACCACTTTTTTCCACCTCTGCCACATTGCCCGCCTCCGTCTGTACCCCATACCCACAGCAGCCGAAGCCCTCATCCATGACTTTGTCACTTCCCGGCTGGACGATTCTAATGCCCTCCTGGCTGGTCTCCCCAGTTTCACCAAACACAAAATCCAATTAATTCAAAAAACAGCCACCCGGATAGTCACCCGCACGGAACACCGTACCCCTATCACACCAGTCCTAGTCAGGCTCCACTGGGTCTTAAACACCGATATATAGATTTCAAGATCCTCTCACTCGTTTTCAAATCTGTTCATGCTCTCACACCTCCCTACCTATCTGACCTGCTTACCCCCCACTCTATCACCCGCTACCTCCACTCGGCTGGCTCCGGCCTTCTGTTTGTCCCTCGTGCCCCTTCCGTTCCACCATCAGTAGCCGTGCCTTCAGCCTCTACACCCCGAAACACTGGTACTTTCTGCCTCAATCTCTCTGCCCCTCCCTCCCCACCTACAAAACCCGCCTAAAGACCTTCCCTTTTGATTGTGCTTACGGTCACCTCCTCCACCCCCTTGTCAGACTCTGCCGCTGTGAAACGCTACCCCGTGTGAAGGGTGCTACATAAATGCAAATTATTATTGTTTGTCAATTGGCGGATCGCCTTCTGAGGGTAATAATCCCTACAAAAAAATCATAATTTGGTCACTGAATTCATGACTGTTTGTGGGACACTGCTGTGCGCAATTGGGTGCTGAGTTTCGCCCACGAAATACAGTCAATTCTCTTTACAGTATATTCTGTGAAGTGCTTTGAAACGTCTCAAAGACATCGCAAAGCCTGTATGCGTCTGGGGTCTCAAATCCTGAATACATCTGGAGGTTTACTATGCCTGTCCTTCAGAACGTGCACCTCTGACCTCAATACATGATAAGGTATGCTCAAATCAAAGCAAGGATTAATAATTGTATTTGTAAAGCGCCTTTTATGTTGGGAGGATGTCCCAAGGCGCTGGGTTCCCACCCATGCATTTCCTAGGAAAGGTAGGGACAATTGGAAGAGTAGCACATAGGTGCATTTGAATCCTTTTAGCAGATTGATGGCATTGAGGGAGTAGGTCTTCTGCTCTTAATTTTATCTACAGAGGATGTTTTATCAAAAAGACAATATTTAAAACCAATCAATTTAAATACTTGTACCTGTGCAACAAAGATGAGATTAATTTTAGTTATAATTTATTCACATAATGTATTCATTGTTTATTCATGTAAACAAGCTGAATAGGCACCATCAAAAGTAAGAAGGTCATATGTGTAAGGTTTATGTATAATTTGTGTTTTCATATTTTGCTCTGGCATGTTTAATGCTATATTGTTTCATTTCAGAGAGGCCTGGAAGCTCATTATATATTTTGTCCCTATTATGGATAATCCAGATTCAAATTATGATTTGGGGATTTTTGTCTTCCCTTCCCTCAACATTCCCCTCTCACCACACAGCATTCTCCAATGTAAATTCCGGTCAGGAATCTCCCATTGCTGCTTAGTAACTACAGTAGCTGATAGATTTTTACCGACAAGGCCATCTCCGACCACTACTTCATCTCCTTCACCACCTCCACCCCCCTCCCCACCTCCACCAGACCCACCACCATCTTCTACCGCCCTTGGAAGAAGTTACCCCCACAATCCCTAACCGATGCCTTGGAGTCCTCTGAACTCCTCTCCCTCTGGCCTTCAACCCTCACCGACCCCTCTTCTCCTCTCTCCCTCCTCCACAATATCCTCTCCTCCACACTCGATACTCTTGCCCCCATCACTTCCCGCACTGTCTCCTACTCCCGCTCCTCCCCCTGGTACACCACCCACCTCCGCTCACTGAAATGCCAGGTGCGGGCTGCTGAGCGCACCTTTGTCAAATCCGGCTTAACGGTCCACCGACAAATCTGGCTGGACCTCCTCAAAATTTACCGCTCCACTCTAGCCTCGGCCAAGTCGTCCTTCTACTCCAGGATAATCCTGGAGGCGAAGAACAACCCCAGGCTACTGTTTTCCACCACATCCCGACTCCTCCGTCCCCCCCGCCACCCCGCGCAGGTCATCTCCTCCAACCTTCACTGCGAGGAGATGCTGGATTTCCTTGAATCCAAGATCAAGGGAATCCGCTCCGCGGTCACTTCCCCTCCAACTTCCACCCACCACCCACCCCTTCCCTCCCACACTCCGACTCCTACCCATCCTCCCCTACACACCTTCGTACCCGTTTCCCCACCCTCTGTCACTGAACTCATCCTATCCCTAAAACCAACCACCTGCTCCCTTGACCCCATCCCCACTCCACTCCTTATCTCCCAGCTCCATTTTCTTGCCCCACACATCACTGACATCATAAACCTGTCCCTCTCCTCTGGCTCTGTCCCCATTCCATTAAAAACTGCCATCATCACGCCCACCCTGAAAAAACCCTCCCTTGATGCGTCGCAGCTATCAAGCTACCGGCCCATCTCCAACCTCCCCTTTCTCTCCAAGGTCTTGGAAAGAGTTGTCGCCTCCCAACTGCGCTCTTTCCTCTCCACCCATTCTCTTTTTGAACCCCTTCAGTCAGGTTTCCGTGCTGCTCATAGCACAGAAACTGCCCTGGTCAAGGTCACCAATGATATCCTGACCATCTGTGACCAGGGCTCCCTCTGTCTCCTCGTCCTCCTCGACCTATCGGCAGCATTCGATACGGTCGACCACACTATCCTACTCCACCGCTTGTCCTCCCACCTCAACCTTCAAGGCACTGTCCTTGAATGGTTTAGGTCGTACCTTTCTCACCGTCTTCACTTCGTCTCAACGAATGGCTTCTCCTCCACCCCCCGTACTGTCTCATGTGGTGTCCCTCAGGGCTCTGTCCTCGGTCCCCTCCTCTTCACCCTCTATATGCTCCCCCTTGGTGACATCATCCGCAAACATGGGGTTAACTTCCACATGTATGCGGATGACACCCAACTCTACCTTTCCTCCTCTACTCTCAACTCCACGACCACCGATGTCCTGACAGCCTGCCTGTCCGACATCGAGTCCTGGACGAGAGACAACTTTCTTCAGCTCAACGTGCAAAAAACCGAGGCCCTCCTGATTGGCTCACGTCAGCGCCTCCGCACCTCAGGCGCTGACACCATCAGCATCCAAGGCTGCACTCTCCACCTCTCAAAGCCAGTCAGGAACCTCGGCGTTTTGTTCGACCCTGAGCTGTCCTTTCTCCCTCACATCCGCACCACAACTGGCACCGCCTTCCATCAC